CTATTATCAAAATAAGCAACCTGAGAATCACGTTTTCTTGGCTCCCTGACATTCAACTTTTCATGGTGATCATACAAAATGTCAGGAATGTTGTCGGGGTCATCATCGAGGTCTGTAGCCATGAGTGTCGCAATGTGTAGAAATAAAAAATTCGAAAAAAATGCTAATGAAAACAATCAAAGAATATTTTAATTCAAATTGTAATTAAATTATTAATAAGAATAAAAGTATATTATTAATATTTTTTATTTATTGGTAGCGCATGATATTATCTATATGGTAGCCATACCATGAAAAAGAGGAATGTGGCTGAAGAAGTAGTTAAGAGGGCTTCCTCCTACATTCCTGCATTTACAGATATTTTTGACGAGACAACCTTTTATATATTTTTTGTCTTACTGACTGTTTTGTCTTTTGTTGTTGCTTTTTTCTGCGCTTGGTATTTCGATATCAAGCTTAGTGATGCAGGCCATCCCAGAACAGAGTCGAAAAAGAGGAGATAATGCATGTTTACTCCTTGTACTTTACGTCTGTTATAATTTATGGCGCATATGTATCTGCTTTAAATATGTTTTATGATCACAATATATTCAATCCACTATTTTATACTATATTCGTTTATTGTCTTCTAAATCGGTAATTTTGTTATGCTTGAGCCTCAATCGATTTTGGTCTATACAATCACGACTTCCCATTTCGTATTTTAGATGTTGCACATTCTGCGCACACAGTGAAATTTTAAATTACCTAAAATTCTCTTACCGCACTATTTGATTCTCCTGAATACGTTTGTTAAACATAGTACTCTGTATCGATCTATGTGCTCGCAGAAATGGACCAACAATAAAATAAGCCAACATATTGACATGAACTGACCTCGTTTTGTTCATAGACGAGCTCTAGTTTTGTGCTGAGATTAGCAAGACTAATTGACGATGCCGGATAGGGGACTGGGAATATACCCAATCCATTGTCTAATGCCTGCAAACATGGTAATTAGTAAGGCAGATGACTTTGGACAGTGTCCACTCAACTAAGCTCCCCTGACAATACGAGGAGGCTGAGAAATGAAATCAACCCACTTTTATACATTGAATGGTAGCTACGAGCATACTGGAGGCCATTGTCTTGGTCTTCATATCTTCCAGTCAATATATAGCCTAATCCCACTATTATACGTGCCCCATACGTATTCTGCGCTCCTTTATGATGACGACTGATAATTTTAATACCACCATCTATAAGATCTCTTCTTCCCTGTATGACTTTTTATATCTTGAATGAATCGCTGTTCATCCTTAATTTGCATATTTAAGGATGGAGACTAGGTATGAACGAAACTATCACATTGTTTAACAATGGTAAACTGCTAGTGGACATAGTCTTTAACTTATTATTAGATACGTTTCCTTCCTAGTGATAGACGCTTACTCTTTCCCATGAAAGAGGCCGACTTCCTTGAACGTAGTTCTCAGCTATATCACTAGAGGTATGTGAACACCGCTTATGGACACATTGTGCTATTACTAATGAAATCCCGCAAATTGCGATAAGCCGTCCATTAGACGTAGTGAATTCTCGGATGCACCGAGGCTCCATTCGACGTAGAATCGTTGCGTTCATTAAGGGCCGCCCTTGACACACTGGACTCATTTAAAATGACTCCTACTCACGCACTGATTAGAGCGTTGTACCATTTGTTTGCGGAACCCAAATGACCCGTCTGCCTCTGTCCCAAACAGGTGACTCCTTACCCAGTGGTTTTTCTTTACCACAGTTTAGAATAAGATCCCTAGGATCGACTCAAAGGGATTAACCATTTTGTAAATCGCATGCATGTCATATAAGCACTATGCGGTTTGGAGTCAAGTCTCCCAGTCCAAGCTTCCATACGTTACCCTATGTAAACCAATCTACCCGGAATAGCATCAACGCGAAAGGCGATAAGATTGGCCGTCATGAACGGCTTGCGTTTAAATGGTTAGGGACAAAAGCAATTTACTTAAGCTCAATAAATTAGGCTTTTCTGATGATGTCGTTTATCCTAACCACCTGTTTGTATGCATGGGGGCGATAAGATGGACGCATGCTTGGACATATCGCGCAACAATAAGCGGCAGCACAAGATGATCTTACAGATGGGCAAACTAGTATACAGAACCCGACAGGACTTAGTGCACAAAGATATGCCACGTTCATGAAGCCTAACAATAATAATTTTCTAGTTGCATAGCACCAAAAATGGTGCATGTCTTGCTGAAGGGCCCATGAAGCAATACAAGTAATCGCAGATATCTGCCACCGAGAAATAGAAAATCTTAACAATTTGTTTAAATAATGGACAGACAAGGAAGATGCGTAATCAAGGTATAAAAAACAAAGTCGACGGATAAGAATCGACCAAGCCCATTGGAAATTGGACAACCGGCTCAATTGCACGCCCAAGACTAGCCATGAGGGAGAAGGAGCAATATTAAGACTCCTATGTAAAACTGTAATTCATCTAGTCTAAAAAGGTATTCACAACTTAATTTGGTTAAAGGATGAAAGAATATAAGAAGCTTGGTGAAGCGAAAGGTCATCATTTAGATTCTTCGGCTATTCGACCAGCTTTGGCAACAACGTCTTCGATGGCGCCAACCATGTAGAAGGCGATTTCAGGCAGATGATCCATTTCGCCTGAAATAGTAATACATTAAACAGTCAAACAAGATTTTAAATGGGCTTAAAAAACCGAAACATACCATCGATGATCTTCTTAAAGCCTCTAATAGACTCTTGGAGAGGAACAAGCTTCCCCTCGTGTCCAGTAAAGACCTCAGCGACTTGGAAGGGCTGGCTCAAAAACCTTTGGATCTTTCTTGCTCTGGAGACGGTTAACTTATCTTCTTCTGATAATTCATCCATACCTAAGATAGCAATGATATCTTGAAGGGATCTATAATCTTGAAGAATCTTCTGAACGCCACGGGCAACGGAATAGTGCTCTTCGCCAACAATATTGGGATCTAAGATACGGCTAGTAGAATCAAGAGGATCGACAGCGGGATATATGCCCAACTCGGCAATACCACGACTGAGGACAGTAGTCGCGTCGAGATGGGCGAATGTAGTGGCAGGGGCAGGATCAGTTAGATCATCAGCAGGTACATAAATAGCTTGAACGGACGTGATAGAGCCTTTTTTGGTAGTAGTTATTCTTTCTTGCATAGTACCCATATCAGTGGCTAGAGTAGGCTGATATCCAACGGCGCTTGGGATACGACCAAGAAGAGCTGACACTTCTGACCCAGCTTGGGTGAATCTGAAAATATTGTCAATGAAAAGAAGAACGTCCTGGCCCTCCTGGTCCCTAAAATACTCGGCCACAGTAAGGCCGCTAAGGGCTACACGAGCGCGAGCTCCAGGTGGTTCGTTCATCTGGCCATAGACAAGAGCAACCTTAGAGGCATTTCCCTTAAGATCAATCACACCCGTAGTTATCATTTCATGGTACAAATCATTACCCTCACGAGTCCTCTCCCCAACGCCGGCAAATACAGAGTAGCCACCATGCGCACGAGCGATATTATTAATAAGCTCCATAATCAAGACAGTCTTGCCAACACCCGCACCACCGAAGAGACCTAAATCGAAGTAATAAAAAAACAAATTTACCCACCTATCTTGCCACCCTTAGCATACGGAGCGAGGAGGTCAACAACTTTAATGCCTGTTTCAAGGATCTCTTGGTCGGTACTCATGTCAACAAAATCAGGGGCTTCCCGATGAATAGCAGATTTCATGGATGTTTTGATAGGACCACGCTCATCGATGCTATCACCGATAACGTTCATAATCCTTCCTAGAGTCTCGGGACCAACGGGAATGCTAATAGGAGAACCAGTATCAACGCATTTTTGGCCACGGACAAGGCCCTCGGTACCATCCATGGCAATAGCACGGACAGTATTTTCACCGAGATGCTGAGCCACCTCCAGAATTAACTTGGGTTCTCGACCTATAACTTCCATGGCATTGAGAATAGGTGGCAATTTATCATCAAACTGAACGTCAACGACTGCCCCAATTACGGCAATGATGCGGCCGCCAGCAGAAGGGGCAAGTTTGCTCTCAGTTGCGAAATAATTACCTTAGAGGTTAGATAGGCGAAAATGGCTTACATCGAATGGAGGAAAACTGGTAGAGGGACTTGTTAAAGGGCATGCAGTTTGTAAAACCATAACTGAAAAGGCGGCTAGCGGAGAGGGCAGCCCTGCGCAAGGATGACATTACTGTCGAAACTGGAACGGACAAGAAGAAAGGAGAGCGCTAAAAAAAGAAGTTATGAGGAAAGACATTAATGTAAAAAATATAATACGTTATTGTTTATATTTTATTTTTATTATTTTCTCATTATTTTATTGTGTTTGAAAAATTTGTAAGCGTTGCGCATTTATTTAATTAGTATGCCTTGCGTTCCTCCTGTCGTTAACCTTAAATTCATAATCTTAGGTAACGCTTCTGTTGGAAAAACATGGTAACCTTTACTTCAAGTCCTATCGTTTAGTTTAGCTACTCGTTTTGTTGACGATATATTTTCTGAAGCAGTTCCTTCTACCATACATTTTGATGTTAAACATTATTTTACGACATATGACGACTTAAATCTTCGAGTTGCGATATGGGTACGTTTTCTAACTTATAACCTTTAAAGGATACAGCAGGACTTGAAATTTATAATTCGCTTTCAACCAATCTATTTAGAAAATCAGATGCAGCTATGCTGGGCAGGTTTATGCTCATGTTTATTAATAGTTTATGCCGTAGACGACCTTCGATCTTTTGCTAGCATACCATTGTGGCTAGAAGAGCTTGATATAGGTTCTGATAGGCCAGACATGATCAAAGTCTTAGTTGGAAATAAGACTGATTTGATAGATAACTCTGGCGGCGATGGCCATAAAGGCAGAAGAAAAGTGCAGTTTGCCCAAGGTGCAAAGTTTGCTCGTGAAAATGGCATGATGTTCTTTGAAACCAGTGCGAAAACTAGTGAGAACGTTTCAATTGCCTTTAATGAAGTTATTCACAAGGTAGTTATATTTAATACCGAATAAATTCTTCCCAGTAATATTATCTGATTGTTATTACAATGCTCAATTGAAAAGAAGACATGCTCTATAAATTACATGCTAACTAGCCTATGTAAAAAGCTAGGTATCATCCAACTTAAACAAGAGCTTAGAACTATTCTTGGTCCAAGCCTCACTCAGCAAACTTTTATACGAGGATTCACAAATTTACAGACACAAATGTGATATTCTGGGTCATGCTGTATTATAAATTTGTCGCCTCTTAGATTGACGCTTACAAAAAACTGATAACATTACTGATACTAAATAATAAAAGTGCCTTTCTATTTTATCTAAGGCGAGTGAATGTTATTACTAATTGGACTCACCTAAACCCTAAGGATGATTGCCTAGGAGTTATGACTTCACATTTTTGCGAATAAATACTCGGATCACCGTCTATCTGGAATTTCCATCAATTAAGGCATCCCAATATTTGTCCGACTATTTTATACTGACCTTTTGTTCATCTTATGATGAAGATAATCAGCTGGAGCTCATTAGTATAGAAGTGTTAACATAGGACTTTTACGGGAATGAGTTTCAGCTCTGCTGATGTTCATCATATGATGGACGAGAGAGCTTTTTTCATCCGAAATGATGGAGGACGTCTTGTGTCGACCTGAATGTTGTATTAAAGCCAAATGGCTGCACTACAACGGGTATCAGCCGCCAACTTCTGTTGAGATCGACCTTCGAATCTCTTTTTCATGAACTTTCATGCAAAATGAAAATCTCAACAATATTATTTCAGGAGATTTGTCGAAAACCAGTCAGTATTCGTATTTCAGTCTTCTTTCACTTCATATTACTCATGGCCTGAGTCTCATATTAATTTTATTTTCTATTAATTTGTGTATTTTAAACCCTTGTTAAAAATAAACTTTGAACGAATATCTAATATTTGAAACTCTAGATGATTTTAACAATTAGTTTAGTACTTCGCAACCACGATCTGGTTTCTTGTTTCTTGTTTATTCATCTATTCTATTAAGTAACGGATTAATATTTTCTCAATTATAACCAAGGTTATTAGTAATCGAAATCCTTTGGAACTCGACAGGACGGCTGGGCTCGCAACAGTTGCTCCGACTCATGAACACTCAAATTCTTCATCTTGCTCTTGCTGATTACAAAAGCTGTTTATATTTTTTTCTCATGAACACCACTCGTCTTTAATTTCGCTCTATTTCTTTTTCTATTAGCGCACATTGATCACTCATTGCTTTTC